AGACAGACAGCGACCAATGAGACAGATGATGAGGCTTGAATGGCAGCACAAGGATGTCAGGCTTTGTCCCTCCTGCAAAGGTTTTGCAGAAGATTATTTGGGGGCTGTAAGGAGATTGTGCTGCCTCTAAGGGGTCCTGATTTCTGAAGTGTCCCTTTGGCCATCTCCCCTGCTGACTTCTAACTGGCTTGCTCTGGCCAACTCACACACACCCCGACCCCCTCCCTCCAATCGGCTCCCTTCAAATTGTCCCTCCCCACAGCGCAGCATTCATGCATCAGCTCTAAATAGTCCCACTGTTCAGCTTTAACGAGAAGTAATACCAATTCCCATGTTTGCTTAGAGAGCACCATATTTCATCACACCAGAGCCCATGCCGGCTCAGATTACTGGCCGAGACAATGTTCTGTAATCCTGGTTTATTCACATGTCACGGGTATTTTAGCAAAACAGAAATGAATGGCCCGAGCCACCCTAGGAAGTCACGGGAGAGTTGGGTTCCCGCCCAGGGGAAGTCACGCTTTCTTCTGCCACAGTTCTCCGAGGAGCTGACTTGGAATCTCTGAGATTTTTCCCAACTTTCAGAAAGAGAATATGGGCTGAGGAGGAGTCGCAAAGTGGGTAGTTATTTCCCTATAAAATGTTAACTCCGTGGAGAGATTTTGCCAGAGCAAAAATACAATCTGTCATTGATTATAAAGTCTTTTGTGCTTGTTATTTTACAGATTTATGACACTCGGGCCTGGCGGCCTGGAGGAGGCCCTGGGATTCTTGTCTCTAGCGCCCAGCAAACCCTGCAGCCGCTTTTTCACAGCTCATGCCCCAAATGGGAAGAGGGATTTGCCTGCATTTCTTTTGTCCTCGGGGCCATGAGTTTAGGAAATCTACACGAAGATGCGTGAATCATCTGCCGTCTTTGGACAGGGACCCACAGATACTGATGATGAAGGCGCAGTAGGAGAGGTCCAGGACTTCCTCAACAAGAAAACAGCCTTTCCTCTTCCTTGTCTTTTCAGCTCTTGGCACAGTGCACTCAGAAATGCATTTCCTCTGCAGAGCAAAAAAAAAAAAAAAAAAAAAGCGCCAGGCTGAACCTCTCACCAAATCTCCCAGAGTCTGGATCCACTTTAAACAGGCTCCAACCTCTTTCAAACACAAGATACATAAAAACAGTAGTTAACCAGGATCAATGTTATTTAGTTCCATCTCATGTTAAAACCTTACCAACGATCCTCCTAATAGCCTACTCTTGTCCCCCTTCAGAGTTGAAGGAATCAAAGCCCAGAGAAGTCAAGTAATTTGCCTGAGGCTGTACAGCTAGGGAGGAGTGAAAACAGGGACATGAACTTCATCCCAATTGACTCCAAAAGGCCCTGGAGATACTCTCATTTCCAGGAACGAGTTGACAGAAGGCCACAGACCGGGGCCTAGTGCGTTGGAGCTGAAAACAGCCAGGAAGTCAGCCTTCTCGTTGAAACGGGAGGTGGCCGGGGTTCCAAAGAGATGCTGGGGCCGGCCCAGGGAGAGAGAGCCAGTGAGAGCCACAGACCAACTCTACCACAAGGTAACCAGACAGCATCATGAAACAACTGCTCAGGAATATTTCCTTTGGGGATTACTTGGGGCAAGGTGCCGGATGAAACCAAATGAAGCTTGCTTCTCAGACTATCCAGGGTGTGATTTCTCCCTCACTCAGGTGTAGAGTTTCGTAACCACGGAGCTTCTTTATTTCTTCTTCAGGGTTTTCTGAGCCTAGGGAAACCCTGCTATCCTCAGACCATGTGGCAGGTAAGCCGAGAAGACTAAGGACCCCCAAATAACCTCTCAGAGAGAGGTTGAGCACTTTCCATCCCTGACAGCAAGTTCAAAAGCTCAGAGCCCCAGTAAAAGTAGCATCGGACACTCCGGGACTCCGGGATAATTTCAGTGAGAAGCTGTGAGAAATCACAGCTCTCGGGGCTGGAATCCACCATGCGACATCTCAACTCCCATTCTGAGCCGCAGCCTGGGCTATTAAAAACAAAACATTCTCATTGGCAAGCTCCGCGGTTAGCCTCATTTCCACGCTAGGAACTCTGTTCTGCATGAGCTGATGTTGCACAGCGATTGTTTCTTGTCTCAGCGATGCTGTTTGCAGGCCTTGCTGGGAGCCAGCGAGGATGTGACCCGGTGGTAATCTGAATTGCTTCACCAAACACATTTTTATCCCATCATCTCGGCTACATGAAAGGGAGCCATAGCGCTCCAGTGTTCAGGAGTTTACAGTCCTGCTGTTCAGCAATAAAACGAGGCAAGAAATATTAGCTATCCTCGGTTGATGCCTTCATTCTTTCCCAACAATGTCAGAGAATCTGTACCCTACAGGTTTTAGTGCCGGCTAAAGCCTGACCCTCGGGCTGGCTTGAATGGAGCGGGAATGAGTTAAGGAGAGCAAGGAGGCTTTAATGGACACAGATCCCGAATAGCCCAGCTTGGCCCGGCCTCCTGCGGACTCACCCTCCTTTTCACAGGCCTCGATTGTGTATGGCCCCAGCAGAGACAAAACTACCCATGAGCAGAGGTTACCCCCAGCCGGTACAGGTCAGAGGCATTCTGGGGGAGAAGGGGAGAGGGGGGCAGAGGGGAAGTGAGGGGCACACGGAGCAGGAGGGAAGTGGGGGCAGGGGGAGGGAGCAGTAAAAGTTAGTGTGAATCATTTACGAGGAGAGATTCATCAAGTCCAAGACTGTGACTGGTCCTCTCACCTCCAGGCCAACCCTTTTCGAAAACTGCTTCACGGAACAAATGGGAGATGGGCTAATGGGAGGTTGAATGCGATGTGCGCTAATTGTCAAAAGAAGGAAAATGTTTCCCTATCGTCTTCCAACAAAGCTACAGGCCTGAGGTTCCGAAGCTCTCAACAGGATGACCTCTCATTTGACACTGCAAGATTTTGAAAAATTACAAATGGGTGGTTTTACCACCATCTTTTCAGCAGTTTTTCAATTATAGCATTGTAAGCCCTCCAAGCAAAGTCATGATTTGTGCTTGAAGAGCCCAGAGTTACCAACAAAGGGAAGAGCATGCTTGCAAGTTTGAAGATAATAATGTAGCATAGACATCTTGGACTTCGCTGGAAAAATGCAGGTTTGGAGATGTCCTTTCCTTCCCTCAGAGAGGTTCCTAAACCGTTTGTGTGGGCCTTGAACCCCTGACACAGTCTGAGGAAACCCTAGACCCTTTCTCAAAAGAATATTCTTAATATGCGGGATTATAGAGGAAGCTGATGACATTAAACTAGTTACCAAAATGTTTTTTAAAACAGCTTTGCAACATAGTGCTACATGTGCCTTTTAATTAATTCGCTAAATAACTAGCAGCAGGCTTAAGTTCTTGAATTTCAGAATAGTGATGAGCAAGAATGGTATTTTCAAGAAGTCTGAAACATGATAGGAAAGTGTGATATGAAAGTATCTGTGGGTAGTGGCTATCACTGTAGTTTGATTACTTGTGTTTCTAATATTATGGAACGCTAAGTTTCTGGCACAGGTTAGCAAAAATAAAGATGTCATTTTTCCCCATCCAAATTCACAGCCGCCCTGGAATTCTATCCATAGACAAGAAACCTTGCCCCCAGACTAAACTGAGGGGTGGTGAGCCAGGGGTTCATCACAGCCTCACTTCATTGTGAAACCTTCTTAGGAAAACTAAGCTTTTCCTTCTCCTATCCTGAAGCTTTGGAAATGGTTTTGTAAAACAATTTGAAACCGTGTCCGCTTTTCGCGACAACCCTGCTGGCCACCTGTCCAAAGATTAATAAGCACCTTTGATGTGTTTCTTCAATAACTGGAATCATTGTCACCAAATAAAGGGTCTGTTGATCGACTAATTCTGAATTTTAATCGAGATCTTTTTCCTTTAATCAGGATCGCCCTGAGTTGGTTGAGCTTTGGTGTTAGGGTTTTTCTTTTCAAAGGCTGCCCAGGGAGAGTTCGTGTTCCCCTCGCGCTTGCATTTTGGACACACACTGGCTCAGAGACAACTGGGCGCACACACATCCCCCCATCGGGTCCTCACGGGGGAGCTGTCATCTCACAACCACATAGTCATCACATGCCATTGCAGGGGCAACCCGGCAGGAGGGCCCCCCTCTAAACGCCGCCCAGCCCCCGCGCTGTCCCGCCAGGCTGAGGCGCCGACACACAGGAG